TTGCTGTGCCAAGAGCTGCACAATAGTTTGTGCTCACTTGATTGTCACAAGGGGGGACGCCACGACAACAGCCACACTTGCATCTGCTCGTTTTCTCTGTCGTAACTTTGCCGGCATCTGACAGCATGACACTTTGGCTCCCGTAACATATTTTGTTGCCACTTTGGGACGGCTTTTGGTCCATGGGAGGTATATAGGGCAGTAAACACCCCAGTCAGAGACATGTCAAGGCGTCCTGCCCTCCAATCCTTCCTAGCTTCGATCCCTTAATCCCCTGATCTAGTTGAAAAGCCAAAATCTCAAGGTGGGGTGATAATTATTGGGTGTCTGGGTCTTGATTTACACTATTTTTGGATGCAGATGCCAGACACCCTGAAGCCGGTGGATGATCATCTCGACATGTTCCTTGTGGTGCCAGCAACACTTGCACCGCTGGTGTGGCATTCTTTGCACGCTATGCTGGGATAGTTTTTTAGGAGTGCCATGTCTGGACAGCTTATTCAGAAGCAGGCTGTCGTCGTCGAGATCCATGCTTTTTTTTTAACAGATGATGTTGCAGTGCCCACATGGGTGAGTATGACAGAAAGGATTCGAGATTGGAATAGGTCACCAAACAGTATCGCATCATTTTTCGTTAAAATATTTTTCTAACAACACTATTCATTGAAATAAACACTGAAATTCAAAGTTTCTCGTGCAAGAATGGGGAGGCCTGGGGGTGCTCATATGTATCCCCACTACTCTGATGATAGTAGTGTCACCTCTAAATCAACACAGCATAATGGAAGACATATCGCAGTCTAAAACGGGAAAGAATGTTGATATATGTGTCTTGCAGATGCGTATATGACCAAATAGCAAATGATTGCGGTGCCCTGAGCCCTAAGGTATTCAGGACCAATAAACACATGGGGGTGGTAGCAGCTGTCATGGCAAATGGAAGCTGTCAGAATGACATGTTCGGATATTGACACGGATTGTGTCGGAGAGACATGAAATCGCAACTGCTGGAGCCACTCCAGTATTGCATGAGCACTTCAGCTCGTATGTTTACACCAAAACTGTTCTGTGCGAGCTTCATAGAACACTCATGGCCAGGCTGCTATTCTCAAATCCCTAATCACCAGTACCAATGCCAAGCTTCGGCAGTGCCAGCAGCACTTTAGACAATGTTAAATTGGGACGTTCTCTGATGAGTTCACATTCCCTGGCACTTGTGTGCAGGAAACCTTTGCAGTAGGTGTGTGCGAATATTGGTTCAAATTGAATAGTATGTTTGCCATAACCTTCGCGCTGCAAAGGGAAGCCGATGCAACCGGCTCTTTTTGCGCTGTTGATGCTAGAAACGACAGTGCACTATTTAATTCGAACCAATATTTGCACACCACTACTTCACAGGCTTACGAACTGCACTGTTTTGTCCCAAATTAAACAACATCATATGGGGAGCTTTCCACTGTTCTGGATGAATGGCTCCCATTCCCTCTGGCCAGTGCACATAATTTTCATGTGTCCTTCCCAAAACACAGCGATGCAATATTCGTCACCAACACCAATGACAGATATTATCTACAATTATGAACTGGGACCCTGTGAACTTATTTTATGTATCATGACCACGCAACAGATATTCCTTCCTTGTTAATTCCGGTGTATAACTGGTTGTTGTGTCGATTGAAGTTGGAGGTGCGTTAGGAGAACCAAGGCCTATAGTTGTTTTTTTTTTTGTTTTTTTTTAAACTCTGGAGCATTTAGAATGAATCTACAGCAGTTCACTTCAATTTGGCTTCCATGTCTAGCCCATCCGACATGGACTGCCAAATAGGGATTCTGCTATGTGATAGCTGGAGTGGACGTAACAGAAAAGCAGAGTATGATTACATGCCTAGAGAAATGAAAACAAGTGTAGAATTTGCCAACAGAGTGATAGGCTTTGCTTCTTACATCCAATCTCTGTCATTGTTCCAGGCACTACAGATTTGCAGCCTACAGGCAGTGTGCCCTGTGGCTGTGGAGCCGCTTGGGAAAGAAGAATAGGCGGCCCCTGCCATCCTGTGTGGTCAAGACAATTAGGGGCAGGTACCCTGCTGACGTGTATGCGGGCTACAGGGATGCAGAATAAATTGCGTTGACCTAGAGACCACGCAACCCCCTTCCCTTGTCTCTTCACCCTCCCTGCATGTGTGTGAAGTCGCTCGTAGCCATGAACGGAATCCTCTAAATCACGTGACCTATTATCTACGATATCACGTGACCATAACTATGATCACATGATCGTAGTCAGACCAAAGCCAGTGCACCTACGTCACATTCAGTCACACGACGAAGCCGCCTCGGTGGCTCCGAGGCGAGAGTGCCGGCCTACGGATCCCCATGTGGCGGGTTCGAATCCCGGCCGAGGTGCCTGCAATCTGATGGAGGTATATTGCGGAGAAGGCAGCTTGGTAATCGAGCTTTCGATTGCACGTCAAAAGATCCCCAGGTGGTCGAAATTAATCCTCGGTCCTCCGCTGGGGCGTGCCAGATGCCCGTCGTTGGTTTGGCACGTAAAACCCCCAAATTTGATTTGAGTCGCACGACCGGATTGCTTCATTTTCCTCCTAGAATCCAAAGGCTGTCATCAAAACTACTAGGGCGTGAGAAGTGCTCATTTGGGACACTAACCTAAGCAGTAAAATTTGGCACCCACTAATACCATTTTAAAGTAAAGATAGAAAAAGCACCGATGTCATGTTCGCACTAACAGTGTTGTGCAGTGTACTTCTACTTTCTTCTGGATCTGTTCTTTCAAATGGAAAAACTGCATATAACCTGGAAAAATCTGACTGCATGAAGCTACAAGATGCTTCCCTACATCAGCCGTCTGAGCGTGCCGGTGCGATGAGGCGAAGAAAGGCGAATTGCGATTGCTGCAGTTTTCAGAGGGACGTGGTCGATTGTTCCGAGGGTCTGGATGACGACGTGGCTAACATGACAAACAAATGACGTTCTGCTTGGGTGACTATAGTCCACTTCAATGCAGCGAACGACGGAGAGGAGGTCGCCTCCTCTCCAGCATTCGCTCTACTAAAGTGGAAAGAGGTGGGAGGAGCTTCCACTTCGTTCTTGACCTGTCACCGACTATAGGCATGCTGTAAATTGTTTTACTTTTTTTTATTTAGAATTCATTGCCAACCTACATTTCATTACTGTACTCTCAACATGTGCTCTAGAATAGACTTTTCCAGTCCAAGCCTTCTGCGAAATCCTTTTTTTACTTGGCTGTGGAATGCTTTTTGAGCATGCACAATAGATCCCCTGCATGGAATATTCTATGCCTCCACAGCCCAGTTACCCTGGATTTTTCCTCCCGGTGGTAAATAGGATCTGCTTATATATTTCAGTGAATACTACAATTGTTAGTTTATATTGTCGTTATAATTGGCAAGTATACCCTCACATCATGCAAATACTTTGAGGAAATGGCACAATTTCGGTCGGGTTTTTAGTTAGGCATAGTGCAGTATTCCAGTTACATCGACCCATGTATTGACCTCACAATGCAGAAATCATCCAGGGGATCACAAAATTAGTACTACCATCGGCATCACTTGTTTTCAATTATGAAATTATTTCCTTTTGGTCATGCAAATTTCTACACCTTCCAGGTTCTGGTACCGAGAAGTCAAGTTGTTGGAAAATTAATGCAGTTTATTTCAATCGTAAGGTTAGCGAATGTGCCTCACTTATTTGCAAGCAGGTCAATAATGACAGAAGACAAATGTTGCAGACGGGGGGAAAACCGTGGTGTAGACTGGAAAATGCAGCACTGTTTTTAAATTGCCATAAAAAACTTCTGTTAATATTTCCAGTGTTATATGCAACCACCCCACTTATGTTATTGCTGCATTACCAGCCTACCTCCTGGATGAAAACCCCATTTATTGGAAACACGGGCGGGCTGCCCCGCCTCGGTGCAGTCTCCACAGCATGTCCGCTCATCAGCACATGAAAAGAAAGATGGATAAGGCATTGTGTTACAGTCTTCAGAAAAGTGTCGGTTGGGTTCCGAAAATACTTCAATTTTCTAAAACTGCTGCGATGGGCTAAGCTTGTGAACTGGGGATGGGATCTCTGGTGCAGAACTACATGCTATTCAAAATAGCACTTGATCCGCCTTCATTGTGGTGTGCCCACAATGAATATGACAATACGGTCACCGATTTCCTCGATCTTGAAAGCTTGCACAAATTATAGCTAGGATCCTGCGTTCTTGAATTTAATTTTTTTTAGCAAAATTAGAGGGTGTTTTTTTGTTTTTTTTTTGAACCATCAATTTGGAGCTTCCATTTATGTACGCAAAGTTCGGAGTCTTTCGGCATTTTCGATGAGGCAAATGAAAGGTAGAAAACAGCAGTTTGTGAATTTAGTAAAGCAGTATTTTCATATGAGAGCCGTATTCATCTACTGTCGTAGAGGGCCTACCTCATTTTTATTATAAGGGGCTACATGGCAACGGAAGTTGACACTGCAATAAGAGGAGAATTGCAAAAATTGTTCGAAGATTCCGGGAAATATAAAGACTGGTGGGGCTTATAACAGCTGGCAGACCGAAAAATTGAGTTTTTCAAATGAATCTGAATCAGCAAAATTTTAACGGCTAGTGTTTTTTGGAGTTTATCAGGTTTATCTGAGAACGCAGAACCCTAATTACAGCTAATGGACTGGGAAGAATTATAGCACTGGCCTGTCCTCATCTCCTAATGCCTCTACTGTTGGCACTGATGTGCCAACAATAGAGGTGCACCATGCTGGGCTTGAAAAATCCGGCTTGAGAGGGCAGGTGCCAATGCTTGCATCTCTCCATTACGCGTGATCGTGGCCCTAAAATCAAGCATTATCAATAGAGGAGATCTGCATTTCTGTGAAAAATGATTGGAGACAGATCTAATGTCCTCCTTACTGTCGGTCAGGGTGTCCTAACGGAAAACAATGATCCATTTTGCAGCTCGGCTGTTTTCTCTTGGGTCTGTCTGCTTGCATTCGCCGTACGTTCTGCAAAACAAAGCGGTTATTGCCTACCATGGTAGTTTTCATTAGGACGAGGCTCCTGTGTGCTTACCACTGGCAGCATGAAAGATAGAACCAGGTCTTTGCTTCCTGCTGCTGTCCACCTCGTTGACAGACTTTCCAGCCAACAGTGAAAATTCAGACTTGCATAATTACATTCCTAGACATTCCAAGTTGGGCTAGATGGGCGTTCACACTGAAGTTAGTGTCGTCCTCACCGCAAGTTGAGCTGTAGCCTTGAGTCTCGCTGTTTGGTGACTTTTCTGTGAGTCCGACATTGCCACCGGCTAAAGTTCCTTGCCCTCTTTTGAGATAGGCACGCCATGACCAGCTTGATTAGGCCCTAAAATGGAACATTCTCATGAGGAGAGATCTGTATTTCTGTGAAAAATGATTGCGGACAGATCTAATGTCCTCCTTACTGTCGGTCAGGGTGTCCTAACGGAAAACGATGATCCATTTTGCAGCTCGGCTGTTTTCTCTTGGGTCTGTCTGCTTGCATTCGCCGTACGTTCTGCAAAACAAAGCGGTTATTGCCTACCATGGTAGTTTTCATTAGGACGAGGCTCCTGTGTGCTTACCACTGGCAGCATGAAAGATCCAACCAGGTCTTTGCTCCCTGCTGCTGTCCGCCTCGTTGACAGACTTTCCAACCTACAGTGAAAATTCAGACTGTTGCATAATTACATTCCTAGACATTCCAAGTTGGGCTAGATGGGCGTTCACACTGAAGTTAGTGTCGTCCTCACCGCAAGTTGAGCTGTAGCCTTGAATCTCGCTGTTTTGTGACTTTTCGGTGACTTCGACATTGCCACCGGCTAAAGTTCCTTGCCCTCTTTTGAGATATGCATGCCATGACCAGCTTGATTAGGCCCTAAAATGGAACATTCTCATGAGGAGAGATCTGTATTTCTGTGAAAAATTATTGCGGACAGATCTAATGTCCTCCTTACTGTCGGTCAGGGTGTCCTAACGGAAAACGACGATCCATTTTGCAGCTCGGCTGTTTTCTCTTGGGTCTGTCTGCTTGCATTCGCCGTACGTTCTGCAAAACAAAGCGGTTATTGCCTACCATGGTAGTTTTCATTAGGACGAGGCTCCTGTGTGCTTACCACTGGCAGCATGAAAGATCCAACCAGGTCTTTGCTGCCTGCTGCTGTCCGCCTCGTTGACAGACTTTCCAACCTACAGTGACAATTCAGACGGTTGCATAATTACATTCCTAGACATTCCAAGTTGGGCTAGATGGGCGTTCACACTGAAGTTAGTGTCGTCCTCACCGCAAGTTGAGCTGTAGCCTTGAGTCTCGCTGTTTGGTGACTTTTCTTTGACTCCGACATTGCCACCGGCTAAAGTTCCTTGCCCTCTTTTGAGATAGGCATGCCATGACCAGCTTGATTAGGCCCTAAAATGGAACATTCTCATGAGGAGAGATCTGCATTTCTGTGAAAAATGATTGCAGACAGATCTAACTTCCTCCTTACTGTCGGTCAGGGTGTCCTAATGGAAAATGGTGAACCATTTTGCAGCTCGGCTGTTTTCTCTTGGGTCTGTCTGCTTGCATTCGCCGTACGTCCTGCAAAACAAAGCGGTTGCTTACCATGCAAGGCTGTATTAGGACCAGGGTGTAAGATAGACAGGTGGGGAAACGAGAGCCAAATGAGCGACCGGATTGTGTACCCCTCGGTTTTCTCTTTTTCTGTGGCGCCATCGATGTGGAGCACCGCAAACTCTCACTCCAGGTGGGCGACCGGTAGCGACTGGCTAAACTGATGGAGATGGTTTCTCGTGGATTTTCAATAAAGACTGTCGTGCTCTCTGTTTATTTTGCGCACTCTCCCATAAAGTTCCATGCAAATCCGATTCCGATTTTTTTCCTCTCGCCGCAGCGCCATCTGTTGCAAATCGGGGGTACCCGCAAGCAGACGAGTACACAATCCGGTCACGGCGCTCCGGTAGGCTTCTATGGGCCGTTTCCCCACCTGCTTATCCTGCACCCTGATTAGGACCAAGGTCCTGTGTGCTTACCTGCGGCAGCATGGAAGTCCCGACCAGGGATTTGATGCCGTTACTGGGGACTGTGGCCGAACCTGGACATTCGTGCTGCCACGAGTTCCTCTTTTGGAGGCCTTGTGTAGGCTGCAGTCATCGGTGCCGGGAAGACGACGGTGTTGGCCCTCGATGCAGCAGCCAGGGACCGCCACTGTTTGCTGCTCTCCATTGCCTCCTTGATGAGCTTTCCAACATACTCTAGAATTCAAACCTTTGCATGATAACATTCCTAGGCTCTCTGGACAAGGCATTCACACTGCAGTTAGTGTTATACTCACTGTAAGTGGGATCCGTAATCTCTGGTCGTGCTGTGTGGTGGCCCTTTCGTGCTTTTGATGTTACGACCGACCAACGTGGCTTGCCATTTGTGTGACGGCTTGGCAGCGGTTTGAGTTTTCGTTGAAATGGAGGATTGCAAGTCGAGTCCTGCAAGATGGTTACATTTCAGTGATGGTAAAGTGTGCCACTTACAAAGAGTGGTTATTCTGGCATCAATCCAATTCCATTATCTGATCATTAGGAAGAGACTGTCAGGTTTGTCGCATTGTAACCAATGGACTGGATGAAAGTGTCCAAACAAAGGAAATGTGATTGTAAATTGGTTGACTTACTTTGCAAGCATGCCTTCTGGGCTGAAAGCCTGGGACTTCGGGGCGAAGTCTATCAGGACGCTGTGGAACGCCTCCAAAGCATATGTCTGGCCATGTGGAGACATCTGTGCAAGGTCCTTCAGGAGCAGTTTGTTGCCAGTGATGCTCTTGAATTGGTTGTAGGCCTGCGAGTCTGAGGATGATACAAGTTTTAGAAAAACCACCTTCATTTGGAAGAACAAAAACATACTGGGATCCATCCATGGTCGTGTTGGCTCTGGCATGTCACCATGGAGGCACCTTCCATAGGTTCCTTCGTGCCCCGAGTGTTTGTTGATGACATGGTTGTGCATGCTGAGCCAGATGTCGATGAGCAGTTTCTCGTCGCCTCCTGCAGCACTTGCTGACCAGTACATATGGTTTGTAGCTGTCTGGATCCAGATTTGCAGGTCTTGGCATCCAGCCGTTTGCTTGCTGCTGTCAGCTTCTTTCTCACACCTAAAATTCATAGTCGTGTCAGGGAAACCTGCAGCGTGATCGCTGGAAAATAAAAGCTACACGAATGGCCTGTTAGGATTGCTTACTTTTGGAGATGTGCCATATGTCAAAGAAGTGGTCAATCCCGGGTTCGTGCGTCTTCATGTGCTTTCGTGTGGCAGGGTGACGGTCAGTCACCAACGATCGGATCTTGATACCTGCACCATTAGGTTTCCGAAGATAGCAAAAGAATAAGTGATTATGCCAATTTGAACAGAGTGCCTGAAAGGCCGCCGAGTAGTGATATACATGAACTAAGCATGAACATACCTTTCTCCTTGAAAAATTGCAGCTGCTTGAGGAGGCCCTCCTTCTCCATGTTGACACTGGCCATGGCCTGTTCAGACTAAAAAAAGGTGTGAAATGAATATTTTACCAAAATAGTGCATAGCAGTGAAGTAACTGATGACGTAACACAAGAGAAGGATTATGAGATTGTTGCAACTGGTTCACGTAAATCCGACTACTTGCCTCTTTTAGCTGGACCTGGACAGAGTGTAGAATCTTGTTGATTTGCTCGACATGGACTGTGTACGTCAGGTACTTGGCACAGAACCCAGGGGAGTCAAATCTCCCGTCAGCAGAGACGTCCACCTCTTTGTTCTGCAACTCGTTGAGAAGTTCTTGTTGCTCTTGCAGCCAGACCTGTTCATGCAGATAAATATTGCTTTAGAAAGGCATGGAGCATACTACAATAGTCCCATCTGTTTATGTATGCATAGTGTAGTGTTGTAGAATGAATGACTGAGTGAAAGAAAAAGGAAAGCACAATGCAGCGAGTTTGAATGTGACTTAGATTGTGCTAGGTTGTGATTTGTGTTTTTATGTTTGTGTATTTCATAAAAGAGGCAGCAGGCCGCCCGTTACCTCGAAGCTGCCCTACCCTTTTCCACAACCACCCTCTGTCTCTTGACTCTCACGGGGAACCTGACTCACTCAACCCAATGCCAGACAGGGAACTGCCCCAGGATACTACACATAGCAGAAATAAATTAAAGTATCGTGGATTTAGTAGCCCATGGCACATATGTAACATGATGTATAAAATTTTATTTCTTAGCACTATACCATTGAAGTGGCATACTACAAGAAGATATTTATTCATTTAACCGAAGTGTGACTGGGGCTCCAGTTTTGTACCTCATTGGAAAATTGGGTATATGGGAAAAAAAATGCAGCTGCAGTGTCCCGGAATATTGCTCACCTTGTGGATTGCAGGTAGAGCGAAGGCCTTCCGATGCTCGTAGAAGCTCGAGTCGGAGATGACCTGCACGTTCATATGGCGTAGCATCCGCAGCGTAGGGGCAATCTTCACTCCAGAGAAGACCAGGTGGCTGGTCAGCAGTATGTTCCCTGCTGGTCTGCCGTTGACGATGGGCTGGCTTTTCCATGTGCGCACGTGCTCCACAGGGCAGATGCTGTAGACTGTGATCAGTGTGCCGGTAGTTTCGATCGTTGTTTGGCACAGTCTTGAGCACTCTTGGCACGTCTTGAAAAGCTCCCTTAGGCAGCTCTCGAACACCAGAAACTGGCGCTCTTCTTCTGGTGGTGGTGGTGGAGCTGATGCACCATGCTCGATTCTGAAATGGGATCATGTGAAGCATTCTTTACAGATTCTATGTGTTTATATGCACAACTTACCTCTCGTAATCCTCGCTGTGAGACGGAGAGTAGGTTGCGTCAGAGTCTGGCATGTTGCTGGGAACAGGAGATGTGCATTCATATGGCACCCCACTGCTACAAGTGGAGAAGGCAGACTCGGGTGGATGCGACTGTGCAGGCACGTCTGCGACAGGGACAGGTGGCACCACTGCAGGGATGTTTGTTTCAGCAGTACAGTCCCTGAGGGTCATTTCTGCCTCGCAGGGTGCAGGCAGTCCAGTTGCCGAGGCCTGAGTCTGCAAAGGGCACTGTTTATTACACATTTCATATTTTTAAGGTTGAAGGGTGCAACTCGAGCACTCCACACAATGCCGTCACCGCGGCAAACATCCATGATGCCTAGTTTTTTAGCTGATGGCAAACATCCATGAATTGTTTTGTAGCCTTTCCATAGCTTAGAATTTCATGCACTCAACCAAAGCTCTCACTGTAATACAAATCTAAGGGATGCCTCACTCTTTATATTTGTTTTTATAACTTACATTACCATCTATATTTTCAGTCTCTAGCTCAGCAACAATAAATGTTCATGTCGCGATATGATGTCACATTACATACATACGTAAAGCTGCAGCTTGACATGTATTTACCAACCACTGAAGGAAATGCAACCAACGAGCACTTATAGCCGCAAGTGGGAAACATACAGCAACTGCCATGAGTTCTCAGTGTCCAGAAGTGCCACCAAGCAACAAAATCATGGCGTGCATTTGCTATGTGCATACAAATTTGCAAACGCGGGTTTGCACGCAATCGTGGGTGCAGGATTGTGAGAAGAAAAAAAAAACTGAGTTTGCTCACAAGAGTAGATATAAAAGAAAACCTGCTTGTTAGTAGTCACGGACACTTGGAACTTTGCTAAGCTGATACGAAAGGGTTCCTGTCTGTAAACAAGCTGGGAAAACATGTATTGACTTCGGGTGGGTCAATAGCAGAGGGGGGTGGTGATGGTGGTACCATTAGAGGCGATTTATGACTCTGTCCTTTTATCTTATTTGTTCGTGTTTTCTTTTTACAAATGAGTTCGATCCTGCAGATGGTGCATGCTGATAGGGTTCTTCGTTTTCGGGTAAAACCCGATAATACCTAATTTTTCTCCCCCGAATAGTTCTGATGAAAATCGGGTTAAACCCGATTTCTCCCCGAAAAGCAGTGTTGAAATCACCTGACTTGATAGAAAATATGAACCATTCTGGATCTGTTTAAACGGTGTTTCCTTGGTCATCAGTTGATGGTTACAATTTTCTTCGATTTGCGTGACCTCCGCAAAGATTCACTTCAGAGCCGATCAGAAGGTAGAAACATATCCTATGCATATATAATATATGTTGTTTACTTTTGTTCACTTTTGTTCATGTAAATAACACATTGCACGTATTTGTAATTGATAAAGAAATCCCGAAAAAAAATCCGAATTTCGGAATGGTTTCTGGAAAAACCCGATTTCTTCCCGATTATCGCCCGGAAAAATAGCTCCCGATTTTTACCCCCCCCGATTTTTGAAAAATATAAAACCCGAAAATGAAAACCCCCGTGCACCGCACCATTCGCACGATAAGCTCTCGAACCGCTAGTCCGGAACATTAGGCACCACTGATCGACTTGACGAATGCCATGTGGATTCCCATGTTACACAAATGCCTCCTCAGTTCTTAGTTCAGAATATAGATACCAGAAGCAGCCGCACTGCGCAACGCAGAATGCCATGTTCGTGACACTCCCAAAAATATTTGAGCCATCGAAAAACTCACCACGACTTTTTGGCGCTTTGGGGGAGGATCGTCGGTCTCATCGGCGACGGGAAGCAGATGCGTCGGCACAGCATCTGATCGAAGACGGGAACGACGCAGGTCGTCCTTTCGGAAAGCAGTCGGCTGGAAATGTTCGGCACAAAAACGGGGAATGAGAGGCAGGTTCTCGATGTCGTGCCCTCGCCCGGCGCAGCGTAACCACGCAGTCCTTCGTGGTTCTTTCTCCGGCAAAGAGAAGAATCGCAAGCCCTTGCGAACGTTCTTCCCAGTTTGATGGCGGCACGTCTTGACGAAACAAACGTTCGGCATTTCAGGGAAATCGCTCACTCAAAGGATAAAAGAAACTACTGCAATACGCAGTCGCATTCCACAGATGACAAGGAAAAGTTTGACTCATTCACGTGGAAGGATCGCAAAGCTGGCTTCGGAGTCGGGATCCACGGGAAGAAGGAACACGTGTGTCGCAAACGCACGCTTGCACACGCCCCGGGAAGCAGACGACCCGACGCGCCGACGCATCACCCCCTAGCAACAAGCTTGCGGGGAGAAAACATAGTTCGCTGGCTTTGGAACGATAATTGCAAACTATGTTTCCCGCACCACAATCAGTTTACGTTTTTCTCAAACTGTAATTTACAACAAGCTTAAAAAGTATTGCAATAATAACGTTCGCATTCACCGCGAGATGCAGCATTTCCATTGGTCAAGTTTTAGCGATGGCCAGGGAATGGGCGATTGTCTTTCAAGAGAAAATAGTAACGATATATTTCTACTGCCATTTACTTAATAAACGGTTTTGTACTCTAAAACTTTGTATACATAT